TACTTAAGTGGTCATTTTTTGCCGACTGTGGTGTCTGAAGGAGGTCAACATGTCGTGCATTCAAAAGCCGAAATCTTCGCGAGTATGAAATATTGTAGGATTATGCTACATGATAATCAGTATAACAACCCCAATTAAGTAATCCTTCCTAATCGGAAACGCATTCCAGAATACGGGCTGACATTTCATGAGATCGGTCACGCGATGTATAACCATCTTCCGAAATTCAGCAGCGAGAATACGGTGTTCCTCGGCGTTTTAATAATGCATGCGGATGACATTGATGTGGGTCAGGTCTTTAAGGGGAAAATGGTTTGTTTGGTCTTGCAGATCTCACGAAAGCGAAATCTAACACGTCCAAAGTATTGGCAGTAAAGACGAACTAACGTCAAGTTTCGTGACAGCGCTACGAATCTAATCATCTGATTGGGTCGAGGTGACAAGTATATAAACGACAAACAGAAGGAGTCCGTAATCCCTGCATTTGCCGCTTGAATGACATTCGCGCTGACCGGCTAAGACCATCGGTCTCATCCACATTTTGCTGTAGTTTCTGTCTTTATCAGTAGCCTTGTGATGGCCTTAAATAAGCACCATATTTCGAACTGTGGCTGGCTTGCCATTTAATCACAGGCAGCTCAGTTGGTAACCTGCCCAACTGACGTTTAAAGTAAATAATTAAATCCTCTCTTCCTCGGTCGCAGGACTTATTATTGGTAAAGCTCACACCTCTAGGTTCTAAAACAGCCTTTCGAGTACTTCTTCGCGCACAAATAGTTCGGACACTGCGCTACTTCGAGGCAATTTAACTACTGACGTAGGGAACTCACTTGTGTAAACAGACCCTATGGTCACTCTTACAGTAGATGTGCTAACTCATGAAATCTCAACCAAAAATCCGAAATGCGTTCTCGTTTCGAAAAGATAAATTAAGTAGTGTTGTAAAACTAATCACAATGCAGCGTAAATCTATAATGATCCAGTTACCTCAGGGTGTCGGCTTTCGAAAGAACTTATTTTTGGCTGCATGCAAGATCTATACTCTGCAAAAAATGACTACTTATGTAGCATGCAATTTTCTCATTGATTTTCGATGCCCTTGAAAATTCAATTATATTTCATGGAAAACGTACATAAAAATATTCATGTCTTTAGTTATTCGGTAGAATGTCACGTCTTCTTATAATTTCACACTCAAACGAAGAGTATATTTCGGTTTTAAAAAACATTTCTAATTCCCGAATAATTTTGAACCCGACCTGCCGTTACACTTGCATTCATGGTTTCCATACTACGAGCTGTACATTCTCCGTACACTGAGAACCATGAATTTCTCTACGGTGTTAAGAGGAGACCATATGAGGTTCATAAAATTAAGCACTGGATTTGAGCATTATTGTTGACTTTACAAGCCACATTCGAAAATGCAGATAAATGACGTTTCATGAACGGCCATTTAACAGTATTAAAAAATCTCACAATTAGAAACTTTTCTAAAACCGAAGTATACTATTCTTTTAAGCATGAAATTAGAAGAAGACGTGATTTTCTTCCGAATAACTAAAGGAATGAATATTTTTATGCATGTGTTCCGGAAATATAATTGAATTTTCAAGAGCATCGAAAATCAATGAGAAAATTGCATACTACGTAAGTAGTCATTTTTCGCAGAGTATGGATCT